GGGGGGAGGTGATCACAACACCCAACCATATCGTCATCGAGATTGAATTCTCTCAAAGTGGCTTTGGGTTTTTATCTCGTCTCTTGACGTCCACCTTAAGGAAACTTACCGGAAATTAATATACTTTTTATACATCTATCCATGTATTAATGTCATCGTGATATCGAAATAGAGTAGAGGGCTGCTCTCTGAAGCAGGCTCGCCGCTGCAGCAAATTTAGCCACGCAGATATAATTTGTGAGACTCGATAGAAGTGTTTGAACTGGCACAGCCTTTTCGGAGCAAGAAAAAAGGCTGTTCCCTGAGCTGGATTCGAAGCGAACTGAAACCCAGGGTTTGCACAGGGGTTTGCACCCGCCACCGGTGCTGCCCATTCTTCCCCCAGCCCAGAAGTGGACACTAACACAGTCAAAGCCCTTTGGGGGAGGGAGAAGGCAAGGTGAGGTTTTCTGAGCGCAGATCCTTACACAAGTGATGTGCACATCGCAGGTGGAAGGTGTCACAGCCGTGTACGTGATGGTAAAGGGTCTTCTCGATCAGATCCTGGGGCTCGTAGCCGGTGAGCTCAGCCACCCTGCAAGGACAGAGGAGCCTGCGTCAGCTGGGAGGGGCCGGAGCGGGGGAGGGGGTGAGGAATCGATTTGGAAGCAGCCTCAGCACTACCTGGAGTCTAGGAAGATGAGCTTCATGTCCAGGCTAGCCCGGAACATGAACATGTTGCTGTGCAGTTTGATCTCTGTCACGGCGCTGGGCGGCAGCGAGTGGCCCACGGCGACCAAACCGACGTTTTGGTAGCAGCCATCGAAAGGTGACATGTCCAGGCTGTACTGGCGGATCTTCAGGTAGCCACTGCAGTGAATGACCTGCAAGGACACACGGCTGCTGGGCGTGGGGGCTGTGAACTTCGCCGCCCCGGGGCCCCACCCCCCCCCAACCCCCCCCCCGTTTTTTTTTTTTTTTTTGGGGTGGGGGGGGGGGTTTTTTTTTTTTTTTTTTTTTTTTTCATACAGAACTTCAGCTCTCATCTCAAGCCCGTTAAAGTCAACAAGATTTTCTTTTTTTTTTTTTTTTTTTCCACTGACTTAAGTGGTTTTTGGACCACCTCCTAACTACGCTTTTATGATTCTTCTCCAAAGGGAAGACGAGGAAGTGCCAAGGCAGTTTCAGCTCTGTAATGAAGAGTGGATGCGTGTGAGAGAGTTTACATGTGTGCGTGTGTCACATGGATAAGATGTATCTATTACACAGACAGAGCAGACACGATCCAGAATGCATCTTTAGGCATAGATTTTAGGTACGTTTCCTCCCTGCATATTGCTGCTATGCACTTCCAACCTCAGTTGTCTATTTTAAGCTTCTCTTCCTGGAGCTATTCCAACAGATTTCCTTTTTCTTGCGCTACACCGTGTCACAACGTCTCCCGCTTCAAGGTCGGGGAACAGACTGGACTGTGCCCGGCCGGGAGCCTCGTGCGGAGCAATGGGAAACGGCCGAGCCCTCGCTGAATGGCTGCTCCTGTGGCAAGCGGCACTCAGTGCCACATTAAAGAGTGCCGAGCCGGGCCAGCCCAGGGAGCTCAATCCACATCCACCTCGCGGTGTCGTGGCGGGGCTGTACCCCCCCACACCCACCTTATAGCCCCCGCAGGTCAGCCCCGCGTTCCTCTTGGCCAGTACGCATTTCATCCGTAGGAAAAAGGACCTCTCGATCTCATACTCTGAGGAGAGGGAAGGCAGAGGGGAGGTGAGCGGCGAGGGAAAGAGTCCAGGTCCAAGTGGGACGATGCGATGTAGGGGGGACGCGCTTTACCCTGCACGAAGTGGGAGTGGTAGGGCTGGTGGGCCGTAAGCACCGCCGTCATCTCGTCGTGGTCGGCGGGGTGGATGTACTCGTAAATGCTGTTGCCGGTCAGCTCTACCTGTGAGAGAGGAGGAGGAGGATGAAGAGGGGAAGAGCAGGAAGGAGAGCGTCAGTCACCGGTGCCCTCTCCGCAGACGCCTCCCGCGCCGGCCCCCAGCCTACCTGAGACAGACCCAGGTGCACCGAGGCTGTCTCCGAGATGTACATGATCTTCCCATCCGGAGCCACCACGAATATGAAACCGTCCAGCGTCTGGGGAAAGGGTCGGCAGAGGGAGCAACAGATAGAGAGATGGACACAGACAGACCGACACATAAAGTACCGTCCTCCAAGGGGTTATTCTAAGTCAAGACGTATTCCCTTTCATGCTGTGATTATTCAGAAAGCTGGAAGGAAACGGAGCCCTGGGCAGGACTCTTCTATAGCCGTGATCCCTCAGGATTCCCGCTGATGACCACCCGAGAATTTTCGAGCGCTGCCACCCCATTTCTAACTCCCCGGGATTTAAGCCCCTGTTAAGCAAACGAAGGGAGTGTAAGCCTCCCCGCAGAGTGAATAACGCCTGTGTGGGACGGGATGATTTGTCAAGTGCGTTTCAGAAGACGGAAATGGGGTTTCTGGGTGCGGAGGCAGCAGAAGAGACCCCCAATCTATTAAAGACGTGTCACAGCCCATACGATCCCACACACACAAAGCATGGATACAGTAATTCCAATATTCCTTCCTCTACCTGAACTGCGTTTGTGCAAAGGAGTCCGTCCTGTCCCTCCCCTCCCACATTTTTTTTTTTTAATTAAACACGTGAACGGTTAAAAATTAGTCACGGTGGCAACTAAAAGCTCAGAAGAGGGACTGGTTTCTTTAATCGTTAATACCGCGTAGCTGTCGTTCTCAGAGTGGTACCTGCAAAAGATGCGATCCCAGCTCCCGTCCGACGTTATCCAGCGGGCTAGTGCGGCTGGAGTGGCCCCAGGCTTCTCCCAGTCCTGTTCAGTTAACACACACAGAAAGGAAAGTGAAGAGGTGACAAACCCACTCCTGTTGGCCTGCTGGAGTAAACCTCTTCTACTTATTTGTTTATTATTATTATACTTTCGCTTGAACTCGCTTTAAAACAGGTATACATATAATCGTTGAGAAAAGGGGATGTGATTTCCTCGTACGGGAAAGCCTCTTTGGTGGATTTTTTATTATTTAAATCTAACTCCTGTGGGAGATAAACACCTTTTTTTTGGTTAACGGGGAAGTTGGTTTCTAAGACCTGGGCGAAACGGTGTGCCCGACAAAGCTGCCCCTGGGGGCGGCCTTTGGCTGCATGGAGCGCGTAAGAGAGCGCCCAGGGGCGTGTGCTGCCTCCCAGAACCCCCTCCTCCCCCCGGCCTTGGGACGGACCTGCCCTGTGCTTCAGACTCTGCTCGTTTCATGCAAAGTGAGGAGGAATAAGAGCTGCAGGAAAATTACTCGGCCGGAGTAAATCTTTGTATAGGCAGTGCTTTTTAACGATGCTGTTGCCGAAATCATTTTGAAAGGGGCATTTTAAGCTTACGCGACTAAATAAGGATCAAACAAGAAGGAAAAACAAACAAACAAACGAACAAAAAACCCCACAAACGTACAGAAATGCTGATTGACGGCAGGAGAAGGCAAGGTCTGCTCCTACAGCGCGGACTCGGGAAGCCGAGCCCACTTTCTCTGGGGATTTCCACACGAAGCGGCAGCGGGCAGAGCGGGCATCCCTTGGTATCGAGCGCCCTCACCTCGGCTCGACACCCGGGCGTGGCGAACAGAGAGGGCATCCTGAGCTGCCCCTTCCTCGCCCGCCTTCTCACCGTTTCCCCCTTCTTCTTAACCCACGGCCCTCAGAAGTCAGCAGCATCCCTGCGCCCCGGCCCCTGCCCGCGTGTACCCCTCGCCGAGTGCCAGCGGGAGATAAGATCCTGCCCGTTAACTCCTCCGCGCCAATTAACGGGGACACGGTGAAGTTGTCCCCAACCCCCGGGCTCTCCTCCCTCCCCCGAAATGCAGTCGCTCTGCCGCCCTCCCCAGCGGGGCTGCCCGGGGGCACATCTGTCCCCTGCCGGGGACCCCCACCGAAGCCAGTCAGGAGCTGACACTTCTCGCACGGCTTCCAGGGAAAGGGAGAAGAGAAACCGCAGTATCTTTGCTTTCCCCGAGCTCCGGGACGCCCTGTCGAAGCCGCTCCTTGCGAGCTTCCCGCACTGGAAGGGAAATCTGAATAACAGTTTCCCTGTTCTGGACTAAAGCTGCGCTCTTCGCCTAGGATTTAAGTTGTTTATTAATCTGGGTTTACGGCTTCTAATTACTCTCCTTCTAAAAGGGAAAACAACCCGACCTCTGCGGGTTAATGAACAGCTCATCAACATTACAGGTTAACTTCTTTCGGGAACGCCGTTCTTCACGGAGCACTGAGCCCTTCGTTATGCTTCGGGTGGAAATCTCACGCTGTTTGGCCGCGGCTGTTAATGTTTCATAATTAAACGTTTTCACTCGTCTACATGAGCCAGCTTCTGGCGATCCTAACACTGGAGACACTTCGCATTGCCCAGATGCTTCAGCACTTTCTAGCCGGAGACGACTTCTCTTCACTGACAAACCCAGATCGGCGGGCTCTCCCGACGCCCTTTAAATACTGCCTTTAGAGATTATAAGATAAAACCTCTCCATTAATATTCCCCTTTTATTATTTTTTCCCCCCTCCGTTCGCTTTAACATCCAATTTCCTTTTATCGGGGGAGCAAACTGAGCTATCTTGCACTTGACCTACCGCAGAAAATTCCTCAAATCCTTTGATTGTCTATTTAAAACAAAACAAGGAAATCAGCTCTCCCTTTTGCTTCAGGATTACGCTGGAAACAAGATCTAAAGATTCTCTTGTAATTTGGAGAGCCAACGGAATAATGGCTTTGGAATAGAAACAAGCAGCTTTGTGCGGGAAAGGATAACTAAACCGTTTTTAGGCAAAGGATTTTCCCAGCTAAAGTGGCCGAAGACAAAGCAAAACATAATCTATTTTGGAAGATTTCCAAGATATGCCACATTAACCTTTGTAGATAAAAATTGCTTTCTCCCCTCCCCCGCCGGGGTCCGGTTTATCATATTTACATAAGTAGCCTTAGAAGCGATGTATCTATTATGGATCTAAGGAGCTCGCGAGCTCACATTTCATGTGGAAACAGAGGCGAAGTTTTACTGTTGCTTAATACTTGATGCATTGTCGAACCATTTCCATTTAAATACTCCCGACCCACGGATTACCTCAATGGACTGGCTGCATGGGCTTTGTAATTTCCTGAAAATGAGATTTCGATTTATAAAACAAGAAACCAATTAGTAACCAAATGAGGCGAAGTAGATCCACTAAAATTGACCTAATCCCACAGGCACCATTTAGGCCGGTTCTTAGCGAATGAATGATGAGCAATCGTGCAGTGCAAGCTCAAGGCATCATCCAGCTGTGTTATTGCAAGAAGCAAAAATAAATGGATCGAGCTTTTCTTTCGGAATGAGTTTTATACTCTCAACAAGATATAGATTATAGGCTCCCATCTAACAACCTCCTCCACTCGAGGATTTTTTTTTTTTTCCTGAGAAGGTAAACAATTCGACCTAGAAGATGTCCTCCATTGGGGGTGGGAGGAGGGAGAAAGAAAGGAAGAAAGGAAAATAAATAAATGACAAAACAAAATAGCAGCGGCATTAGGGACAGGCTTTGCTCAGTTTGCTAACAATGCCCGTTACTGAACTGCGCGCTCTGAGGCTGCGCTCAAACTGCGCTGAACGTGCGCTGGTGCAGTTCGGTCTGCGAGTGCTGAGTCATAGCTTTTCCAGCACTTCTCGACGGGAAATCACGGTTTGCCCACATTTAAAAGTGAGGGAAGGGGCAGAAATCTCCTCGTTCTCTTTGGTGGGAGGACAACACCGGGGCAGTCCGGTGGAAGCGCCTTCCTTCCCCCGTGCGCATCCCGCCCAGCGCCGGGCACGCCGCCCTCCACGGACGGACCCACGGCCAACGCCGCAGCTCCGTGCCGCGGGAGCATTGCCTCCCCGCCCCGCTGGGTAGCTCCGAGCCCTCATGGCAGCAGCCAATGGAGGCACCGGCTGGCATCGCGATATCGTTGCCGAACTCCCCTAAGTCCCAAACAAACGGGGCTGCGCTCAATCACTGCAAATTGGGCCGGGACGAAGTGGCAGAAGGCTCCGAGAGGCGCGGACAGCCCCGCGGGTCTCGGGGTTCCCAGTCCCTCCGTGAGCATCCGCAACGCAGCCCCGACCCCAACCTCGACAGTCTTTGTCTGTCCGTAGCGGGGGGAGTGAAGGGGGGTAGGGGAGGAGGACAGGAGAAGCGAGCTCTTATCTTCTTGGCGTTGATTTGCCAGCGTTTCCAAGTGGCTACCACCATTACCCCAGCCTCAGCACGATCCGAATTCACAGCGGAGGAAACAACGGCAGGGCCATCGGCGCCCCCCCTTCCAAAAGCACTCGGCAGGGAGCCCAACTCAAACCTCCCACAGGGGGATCCGGGCTTCTGGGGGCCCCTGGGAGGCCGCCTGAGGCAGCGGGGAGACCTCGGAGCACCCCGGCTTTTGTCACAGCCTCCCTGCAAAGGCAGAGGGGCAGCGAGGTTGCCTCGAGGAACGGTGTCGTTCAGCAGCCCTCGCTATGCCACCTCCCAGCACCCAGCCGGGCCGATTTCTCACTTAATTTAACAGGAGGTGGTTAATGATAACTCCAAATCTCTGCCAAATGAGGCTTCTGTGAGGGAGCGAGTCGCCGTCGGAGGGTTCAGATGGAACAGAAGCAGCGACATTTAGGGAGAAGAAAGAAAGAAAGAAAAAAAAAAAAAAAAAAAAAAAAAGCTGCTCATGCCTGCGGATGCCATTAGCGAGGTTTCGTCAAGATTTATTATCTCGGTAAATCAGATGCGTTCGTTTGAAGCGGATAGAAGCGAGCGCCCTGCTTCCTTTAGAAAAATAATAGTAAGAGGGAGGCAGAGTTCTGCCGCCTGAACAGACGGCCCTGCTGGGGGAGCGGCCGTGGAAGTAGCACCGATTCACCGCACTGGAGAGAACTCGCAGCTTTTGGGTAATGGAGCTGCCCTCCTACATGCAAACAAAACGGAGCCCACACCGGAGGAGGGGGAAGACAAAAAAAAAAAAAAAAAAAAAAAAAAAAAAAGAGGCAAATTTTCGAGCGCAACATCCATACTTCTGGGTTTTAGAGAAGACGCAAACGCAAATATCGCTTTACCCGAACGAACAGTGGAGGAAAGGGTAGGTTTACGCTATTCACACACAAGTTGAAAACGTCCTTCAGCACTAACAGAGCACTAACAGAGGGAGAGGGGTTTGTAAGGAAAATCTGACTGTATCCACCCGTTAAAGTGCCTTTGTCAGCTCTCGTGCTGAGAGTTCAGTTCTGCACTTCACATGTTAAGTTCACATCAAAACTCGACTTAAGCACAGAGAGGTACCGCGCAGAGTAAACTGCGGCTTAAATGAGAAAAACTTCTGTACGAAATCACCGCTGAAACCCAATGCTCAATCATTTCCCTTAGCAGCAAGAAAAACAGCATTAAATCACCTATCCACGTGGGAAATGGATTTTGTTTTCCTGCTTTTCTCCCCCCCGCACTCCCCCCCTTAAAATAAAACAAGATAAGGAGATTCAATATTGCAACGTTAGGCAAAAGTTCACGTAAACGCGGACGCTGATTTTGTCTGGGAAAGCGAACGCCTCTGCGTGGGAGCGATCCGTCTTCACAGGACAGAAAAGCAAACAGTCCTTCCCTGCTTGTTCGGGTGAGGGGAACAGGACCCTGGAAATATTCCTTAATTAAATATATGTGTATACAGAGCGTCACTTTTTTTTTTTTTTTTTTCCGCCTTCACTTTTGGACACCGGGGCTGCTTATAGGAATCGTATCCTTAGGTAAAGAAATTATTTTCGCCCCCGGATTTATTTCTATCAGGTTTTGATGCTACGTTAGTTGCCTTCACTGTTACACTGAAATGTCAGTTTTTTTTTTCCCCCCATGAACGTTAACACAGGACTAAATTTATCAGGAAGATATTTATCTTTTTCTCCTTCTGTCTTTCTTTTCTTTTCCCCTTCAATAAAAATAATTTTAAAAGCTCTTTACACTGTTCACAGCTATCTAGCAGATCTTCTCCACATTATCTTCCCCAAAGCCGACCCCATGCAAAACAGGCTCTCCCTTCCCGAGCCAGCTGGCCCATGCCAGGCGGCAGCCACGGGGCGCATTTCGTCTTTGCCAGTTTTCCCGAGAGGTTTGGGGCAGGGCAATGGGGTGCCGGGCCCGAGTCAAGTCCTGCACTCCTTCGAGAGACTCGCAAAGCTGCAGCTGAATCTCCGCACTACACTCCCTCAGAGCCGCGCTCATCCGGTGCCACCGCTTTGCATCGCATTTTCAGACAGTGAAACGGAAACTAAACGGCGCTGAGAAGCTGCGTGGCTCTGCGGGCACGGCCCTGGCAGAAACCTCCTGTTTTCATAGTGACCCTGGCATCCAATCTCCTCCTTCCTGCATATGAGCCCCTCAGTGTCCAAACGCGCAGACGGACGCCCACCGATGCTTCCTCCGCTGAGGAGCTTACATCGTTCTGTGCATTTATTCCCACCGTTTCCAGTCAGGCCCCGTGCAGGGAAGCTCCGGGCGGGCCGCCGGGGAACCGCACCGCTCGGCCGAACCCACGCTTCTCCGCTCTCGGCCGGATCCGGGCTGCGCCCCAGCTCTCGCAGCTCTGCCCTCCCCGGGAAAAAACACAGAACGTCCCCTGCCGTATCTACCGCCTTCCGCAGGTTCTGGCTGTCTCTGCGTGCCCAGAGCAAACGGGGAGGGAGGGCCTCCCACATACTGGCAAGTGCCTGCGGAACCACTCCGACCCCCCAGCACGGACAGCACCGCGGGGCCACCCCCTCGGCGGCTGCTTCTTTCCATTCGCAGCTCCCCCGTAGCGAGGCCGCGGAGGTCCCGCCGCCACTCTCCGCCTCCCTGCTCAAAGCCGCAGCTGCCGGCCCCGGCCCCGCGCCCCCCGCCGCACGGCTCCCCGGGGCATTGAGGCATCCCGCGCTGTCGCCCGGGACGGGGCCCGGCCATTCTTCTCCGCCCGTGATTACTCGCAGCCTACAAGCAACACCATATGCTTCGTCTGATCAAACAGCCCCGCTGCATCGGCGGCGGTAATTGACGAGAGCCTCTCGGAATCACGCAGGAAGGCGGCCCGCTGAGACGGCGGGAGCTGACAGATCACCGCTAATAATCCTTTTAGGAACATCGCGGGCAGCGGAGTTGGCCATAGCTTTCTTTTTATAAAGTGTGCGCTGACAGTATTAAAGGACAGCTCAGTTTCCTTGCAGATAGATCGCATAGAATGGCAACGTGGTTTCATGAGAATTTTAACTTTTTCTTCCACTTCCCCCCACCCCCACTTTTTTTTTTTTTTTTTAAAGGTTTCAGGTGTTACAACTCCCTCTTATCCCATTCTTTGGTTCTAAGTTACTCAGAGATACCAAACGTTGCTTAAAGAAGCGGCTACAAGATACACTACGTTGGAAATGACTGCTATGGCTTTGGCTCTATGTACTCACGCAGCGCTGAGGGGGAGGGGGGAGGCCCGCCTCCAGGTCCGAGCGAATATTTACCTTTAAAAAGTCGAGTTAAGACCGCTCCTTCCCGGTCTGAATCAGGTTAAAAGCAAAACAAACAAACAGAACAAACCAGGACAGTCCCCGTACCCGCTCTGGGTTCATGAAGCATTACCGACAGACCCGAAGTAAACGCAAAGTCTGTATTACGGGGTTTCTTACGTATCCACACATTTCAACGAATGATTAATTTTGATTTTTAGATAAATCATTAAAAAAAAAAAATAAATAAAAATCCGGCCCCTCAGTCTTCTCTCTCACTACCGTCTCTTCCAGGCAGAAAACATCTCAATCTAAATAAAAGCTTAGAGAATCGTTTTGATTTTTTTCTTTCCCCTGCATCTCACAGAAGCGACAGACGGAGAGCAGAGCAGAACTTCATCCCGGTCCCTTAACAAGCTCTCTACTCTCTCTGGAGCCCCTCCAGGCACCCCAAGAGGCGGCTCAGCGCCACCAGGAAGAGCTGGAACTGAGGACGCGATGGCCGGCTCTGCCCAGCGAGAGTCAAAATGAAGCTCGCTGCAGGCCCTCTGTTCGCATCGTTATGGGGCTTGGACGCGTCCGAATATAATCATTCTGTGAAAAATTCCCGAGGTCGATTAACGCTCTCAGACGGCCTCAGCGATCCACAGATCGGGATATAGTGGGTTTACGATGCGATACGTCGTGCTTGGCTTATCAGTTGTGGGAGCGCACCCTATACCTGCACACCGCACCTAAGGCTTTAGGACTTTGCATAGGCTTATGTAAATATTTACCCATATATTAGCTCCCCCACGTACAGCTATAAATGGGGGGATCGCCCCCATTTGCCTTGCGGCGATGCCCGCCGCATGGACGAGAACAGAAAACCTCCTGCTGGCTCTGCGTTGACAGAAGCCCCTCAGCCCCCAGCAGAACTGTCATATGAACGGAGTGACAACATTCACGGGAGGGAGAAGTAGCAGCAGAAAGTACTCGGCCCCCAGAGTTCGGCCCAAGCAGCACCTGGATGGGAAGGGGAGCACAGGGGAGGGCCATCCCACCTACCTTCTGGGAAAACCACCCGCATCTTGAGGTAGCTGGTGGTGAGCCTGATTATGGATGCTTTGTCCAGCTGGGAGGTGATGGCCGAGGGCAGGGGCAGTAATTTAGCCAGTTCATAAAATTCGCTGTTTTCTTTCTCCCGTCTAGTCCGGGCAGCATTTTTGGACTTCTCTTTCATCGTGTTTTTTTCCCCCTTCCTTCCTAAAATTTAAGCTCCGGAGCTTCATCCAAAGGTGGGAGGGGAGCGCTCAGTTGCAGTTCATGTCCCGGATCATCGGGAGGGAGAACAGCCGCCGCCCAGAGAAACCGTTCTGTGAAATGGAACAAAGTGCTGAAGAGCAGAGTGGTGTTCTTCAAAAGAACGAATATTCTCTGAAAAGTCACTCGGGGGGGAAAGGCATTTATCCAGTGCAGCTCAGAGACTCAAGCAACTGCAGGAAAAAAAAAAAAAAAAAAAAAAAAAAAAAGAAAAAAAAAACAACAGAACTACAAGCCCGTGGCACGACGCAGCAGCCAAACGAGGTGTTTTGGGCCTCTGTTCCTGCTCATCGCGGACAGTGCCTCTCCTCGAAGTGGGTCATGGTAATCCCGATCCTCCCGCAATCCGCTGCCGGAACGGGGCCTCCACGGGCGGCTTCGTAGGAGCCTCTGCGGGAAGAAGAGCGGTGGTGGTGGGTGAGCAAGTCTCTACTCAGCGCCGCGGCCTCCAGAAATCATCATCATAATTTTTAAAACCTAGCCCAGGTGCCCTTTTCTGCTTGCGTTGTTTGTTTATTTTTTATTTATTTATTTGTTTTGTCCTGCTTGTTGCATTAATCCCGCTGCCCCCGTGAGCCAGGACTCACTGCCGATCGCAGCCCGGCACAGCAGTTACTTCGTGCGTTTTTCCAGCCAATTTTGGGGTTTTGCCGCTGTTTCCTCCCACCCTCGGTGGGAGCACCCAACCTCACTTCGCACCTCTTTGCGCGCGCCCCCCCTCCCGCGGAGGCCAGGCCCCCTGCACCTACCTGGTATCCCCTCGCAGGGCAGCCCGCAGCGAGCCGTGCCAGGGTGCGGACCCCTCTTTAATTGGCTCATTAATAGCGGGGGCGCGGTCGTTGCCCGTCGCGGCTCCCCACGCCGGCGGGCAGCCGGGCGCTGCCGCCTCCCGCCCCTTTATCGGCTGCCCGACTCTCCCTCTCACATACTGGGTGGGGGTGGGCTTAATGAAGAAGCCCTAATTGCGACTGAGAAATGCCCTAATAACTTCTTTTCCGGCTAAAAGCCTTTTAGCACAACTTCATTTCTCCCCCAGCCCCGGCCGAGCCCGCCCTTAATGCCACTCACGGACCCGCCCCGCCTCCCATTGGCTGCCGGCTCCCCGCTCCCTGACGACCATTGGTGAAGCGGACGGTGACGTCACCCCGAAGCGGACACACACCCCTACTCCTCGCGCGCTCCCGCCCTCTGACCCCTCGGTGGCGCGCCCGGGGGAGGCGTGCGGGGACGCGCACCAACCCCCCCCCACGGAGTGCCCCTGGAGAGTTAAAACAAAAAGGTGCTTTAGGCAATTCTCTCTGTTGTTGTTATTATTATTATTTTTTTTTTTTTGTGGGGTTATGAGATTTTCCTGCTAGACTGGGAAAAACCCAAACCAAAACAAAACACTTAGTCCTAGAGAAAAAGAAACAAATAATCTATCAGCACCAAATGCACCTCTCCTACCTCAGGAAACAGAATAGCACCGTGCGGTAATAGCGGCATGGTGCGGGAAAGCGCCCAGCAGCTCTTCCTGGTGTCCGCACGGCCAGGACGCACCGCTCGTCCCTTTGCCGGACCACCCCTCTGTGAAACAAACACAACGCAGGGCAGTTAGGAGAGGTATGGACTCGAGATAAATTATAAAAAGTAATGAAAAGGGGAAAAAGGGGGAAAAATGCGGCCCTCCTCTTCTTAAAGCCCTCGCTGTTGCAGAGAAGGTGACACCGTGCTTTCCGAAGGCTTTCTGTGTGCTGCAAGCACACACCAGCAGGCTGAAAGCGGGCTTGGGGAGAAAGACAGCACCTTCTTGCCGGCTTCTATTGGAGGAAGCTGTCCTGCAAACAGCGCTGATATCCCCGAGGAGTGTTCAGGCATCTGGGCAACAACCGGACTCACACCATCAGGTAGCGCAAGGCTTGTTTGTCAACAGGCGCCTCAAAAATTATCCTTTATAGTGCTTTTGGCTTAGGAAAAAAATGAGTAAATCAGAGGAACACAGTCCTGCCAATGGATAGCAGGGAAACGCAGGCAACCATTCGCCACCCTACGCTCCCGCAGCCACGGATTCGTAGAGGGGAGAGTGGCGGTGCCGGGGCTCTGCCGGCCCCGGAGCGGAGCGGTGGAGAGCGATGGAACCGGGGAAAAAAAATGCCTGGAAGCCTCGGGGGACGCGGGCACAGAGCGGCCCAGATCGGGATGCTGCACCGCTCGGGAATGGGGAACTCGCTGCCTGAAGTACACACGTGTGCTCGGTTCGGGTGAGTTTATTCCCGGGTGAGCCTACGCCGGGTAATTGATAATATAGGAGAACTGAAGAAACAGGTATTGAAACTCGATGCACTTTAAAAACGATCATTATAAGCGGGCTACTTGGAGGAGGGCTCGGTGAAAAGAGGCATTTTGCAGCCAGGCTTGCAACTCCGTGCCGTGAAAAACTTGAGTCGCCAGGCACAGCACGCAGCGTGCATTGCACCGCGTGTGCGTGCGAGTGGGGAGCGAGAGAGCTCTGCAAATCAAAGCTGGAGGG